TATTCTCAAAGCACCAGTGTTCGAAGTGAGTCTGCGATCGGCTTGTAAGGAGGGGCAGTGACTATGACACGGGGCCGGCCCGGATCTGAGGAGTGGGGAATTCAAACCCTAGCCAGAAGGTGGATTAGGAAAGCGGGTGCAGAGTGGAAACTCCTCTGTCTTAGGGTGGAGCACAGGGGATTACCAGGGTCACGGCAACCTTTCGGGGTGCACATGGACATGGGAAAACACGCACAACCAAGCACACACACTGTATCCGGGCAACATGAGAAAGGAGGATTGAGCAGGCACCCGAATGCTTCTTCTGTGATCCCGTGCCAACGCATCACTCCCCCTTCCATCCTGGACAGCTTCAGTCTTCTGAGAATAAAGAAAAACAAACCGAGGGCTCTGAAGCTCTGTGAGCCACAGTACCACCCGAATGTCTCCGTTCTCGTTCGGTTCCTAGTTCAGAGGTTTTCCCTAAACTAAGCATCGGTGTTCTCATCTGCGAGGGAGACACCTAAGAGCACTTCGCTTGCCCTGGGTGTGGAGTAGGCTGGGGCCCCGCAGAGCGACGCTTGAACGCTTGCCGTTGGGCAGTGCTCAGCAGCGGCAGCGGCCAGTGCTTATTCATTTTCACTGACTTTCCGAGGAAGCTGCCTCGCTCAGGGGAGCTGCACGCTACGAGGCCAGGCCCTTGGACAGAGGTTGTGTGCCCACCTCGAGCCCACAGGCCCTGCATGGCTGCTCTCCTCAACCCAGGCGTCCAGGGCCAGGCGCTATCACCAGGAAGAGGAGATACCCACGCTCCCAAGCCCAGAATAGCCCCGGAGTGTGGGCCCCGATTCCCGCCCTGTGAAGGGACATAAGTGCCCTTTGTGAGTGTCACTCCGCAAGTGTTAGCTGACAAACAGCATGCGAGGCTTGACAGACCCTTCAGAAGCGCGGCGCGGCCGGAATCAGACCTTGGCTTCTCCTTACACGGCTCCCGCTGGCAGGCAGCTCAGGGAGGCCTCCAAGCTGCTCCGCACAGGAGGACCCGCCTCAGACGCAGATAAGCCGTGCTGATAAATAAGCTGTCCCCATCCCAGGGGACGTCTGCTTAATAGAATTGTCCTCACCCGCTGAAACTGCGGACGCAGCGTGGAGGATCCCAGAGCTGCAGCTAAACAGGAAATGATCCTGGAAACGGCCTTTAGAGTCTTCACCTGGCTCTTCTGGGGGGAATGGCTGCACCGTGGACTCTGCTTTCAGGTCGAAGCCCCTTTTCCTCGACCTCGCTTACTCTGGGCTCCTGAATTTCCAACTGGTCATGCTTTACCCATTATACCAAAATAAAATCAAAGCTCCTTAGAACTTAAACCTCTAGGTGAGAAGCCTGAGTGTCTGTGTGAACTGTGAGCAGAGGGACATGGCCGCTGTGCGCCTTCCCGTGCCAGATGCGGACCGCAGACGCGTTGGCTGTTTCCCGCACCAGGGTGCCGAGGCCCTCCGAAGCTCAGTAGGAAGCCGGCCAGGAGCAGACGTGCCCGGAAAGCAGCAGCGCCACGGCCGAGAGCCATAGCATCTGCTTTTCCCTGCTTTCCTCAGAACCGGCTTCGAAAGGCCTTTGCTCCTTGCCCGCACACCAGTCGCCTTCAGGAGGCAAAAGCCCTGGGGCCAGGAAGGCAGCAAACCTTGTGAGAGCACCGAGTGTGCAGGCAGCACAAGCAGAGGCTCGGGACCATGCAGTGCCCAGGGCAGTGAGCATGAGAGCCGGTGGGGGGCAGAAGCTGCCACAGGGCCGAGTCCAGGTGGGACTGAGGAGCCCAGGGGACGCAGGCTGGGCCCTGTGTGTGCACACTGGCTCAGCATGGTTGGGCCGGGTGGAGGTGAGAGGTGACCCAAGAGCAAACCCCACCTCGAGAGGACAAAACCAGACCTCCAGCAGCAACTGACGTCAGACAATTGCAAGCACGTGAACATTTCTGGGTGCAGGCTGCACAACGTGCGCAGTTCTCCTTTCTTAGGCATTTACTAAAACTCCGACTTAAAATTTCAGAGTTGAAGCTGAGGCATTTGGCCAGCTCAATATGGGGTTTGGGGAGGCTGAGGGCTGCAGGTTTCATTCCAGCCGTGGTCGAAGCCGTATCCGCCTCCCATTGCTGCTGAGACAGATGACTGCACGCTTGGAGGCTTAGAGCAAGCCCATTGTTTTATGGATTTCAAGTTCAGAACCCCAAAATGAGTCCCTCCGGGAGGCCTGGGAGGCCCTGGGTCCTTACCTTTCCCAGCGTCTGGAGGCCACGGGATTTTCAGCCAGGACCCTTGCAGTTGTCCCCAGTCCACCTCACATCTCCACCTCTTGCTGAGACCCTTCCTCAACCCCTCCTGCAGTTCGAGGACCCCAATTACGTCCACCCACCCAGACAACCCAGGAGATCTCTGCGCCTCAGAATCCCTCCTTTAATCTCCCAGTGGTGATCTCCCTCTGCTGCCACATCTGCAGGATCCTGGGGTTAGAGTGGAATGCCTTCGCACGGGGATGGGGAAGTTATTCTGCTATCAGAGCGGCCTTTTAGGCTTTTAGCACAGAGCAGAAAGGTCTGAGGTAGGGTAAAATTAACTACAGATTAAGGACTTTAATATTAAAGTCATGAGTTTCTGTATTCTAGCAACATGGCAGAGCCATGTTATGAAAGTCCCTTCTTAGGTGTCTAACAGTCTTCCATCTGGTGTTTTCTTTCTGCTGTTCTTGGGTCTGGGGCATGCGTGTGTGTGCACACGTGTGTGCACAGAGGACATGGGTGAACGTGGACTCCTATACATGTGAAGGAATTATGTGTGCTTAGTAATGACATTTGACAGCATGGCCTGAGTTCACAGCCGCATGGAGCACTTTCTGGCCAGGAGAAGCCCAGGGGTGGTCCAATCCTGGCCTCATGACAGCTGCCAGAGCTCTTGGGGCCCTGTCCTCAGTGCCTGTCCAGTGACTGTATTGTGAGAATTAAACAACATGATATTGGCAGTGACATTTGATACTCCTGGAAGGCAGCTGATACAAGGAGGAAGGCACCACGGACCTATGTAAGTTGCTAAGTCACCCTACTTCCCAGGACACGGACAGTACAAGCCAGGTGTGCAGTGTACAGAACACCTCGAGTTTCTTGAGTTTAGTCGGACTTGGGAAAAGATTGAAAGTAGCCATGATCACGTTCCTATAATGGTAGTCATTCACCCATGAAAACACAGAGGCTGAATGTTTCCACCTCCTGGGAGGCTCTCCAGGCCTCCACCTCTGCAAGGACCCAGCTGCCCTGGAGCTGTCCGTGCACCCCTGGGTCCGGCTGGCAGGCTGCTGCCTTCCCTTACTGTCACCACACAGGCCGAAGAACCAGAACCGGGAGCCCTCGTGCTCCCAGGGCCCTAGAGGAATTTCTAATCTTTTCTTTTTCCAAACCATCATCACCCAAGGGTGCTGGAGCAGAACGCTTAGGACCCCCTTTTCCTCAAAGTGCTGAGTGGCCCTGGAGCATCAGCGTTGTCATCAGAGGAGGGGCATGGGCCCTGGTAGCGGAGGGAGCCTTGCAACACGCCGGCTTGTGGGTGCTGTCTGGGCCAACCCCAGGCAGGGAGTGGCCTTGGGCAACAGGCACGGGTCAGGGAAAGAGCCTGGGCTCGGAGGCAGAGGCTTGGAGTGATCCCATGGCCGGAAGGTGTGCAGGATCTGCGATTCTCCCCACTGGAGCTGTTGACTGGCTCACAGGTGTGCACCCAGCTCTGTGCAGGGTCCAGGACAGAGTGAGCAGAGGCCATGGGGGCCCCACGGTGCAGGAACTGCAGGCCCCGGAGACACCGTGATGCTGTGGACGCCTCTCTCATTTTTACTGGAGTCTTCATCTCAAGGCGTGTGGGAGAATCCAATTTTGGAAAATGACTTTAGATATACAATGTGTACAGAGATGAGTAACTGCTCATAAAGATTATTGAGTGTTTCTCTTTTGCTGTTATGTTTTAAAAGCATTTGATGATACTGAGCCATTAAGTACTCATCTGTCACTTCTATTTGTTTAACATTTAATTTTTGACATTGACTCTAATTCATTTCTGTAATCCTGTTTCAGGGCTGGAAAGGCTCAATACTGCACCATTCAGAAGTAATCTATGTTTAAGCCTGTGTGTTTGATTTGTTTCACTTTACATTATGGTCTCAAGATACATCCATTTTCCTACAGATGACTCAAGTTTATCCTTTATGGAAGAGTATGCATTTCCTAATGTATAGATACCACATTTTCTTTATCCATTCATCTGCCAATGGACCTATAGGCCAAGATTTAGCTATTATGAGTTGTGGTGCTACAGACATGGATGTGCATGTATCATTCTAATATGATGACTTTAGCTCTCTTGGGAAGACACCTAGAAGGGAGTAGCTGGGTCCAGTGGAATTTCCAGTTTCAGTTTTTGAGGAATCTCCCTACTGATTTCCATAGTGGTTGTACTAGTTTAAATATTGCATAGTTTCTCTAATATGAGCAACCCAAAGTATAAATAAAGATCAAAACAAAAGATCGATAATAAGAAGTAGGGAGATGAATCTTTCTCAAAGGGGAAGGAGATGAAGAGATGGGGGGAGGAAGGAGGGAAGAAGGGAAAGGGATGGAAAGAGGAATGAAGATGTGTCAGCAACTCTGCAACCTACACCAACTCTGCACAAGGAATGCAGACATCATGCCCTGCAAACAGGGACTAATAAAAACAATTACAAATCTGAAAAAAGAAATAATCTATAAATTAATAAGTGATTCCCGATCATTTAAAACACTTTTTCCTTTAGCCTTTTCTGGTACTGTACTATACTCTTTGAGTCTAGTAGTTTTCTGTACTGTTGCAAATATTTCAATTTTTATATAGATTTTTGCTTGGTAAGATCAGGGCCTTCCTCTCTATTTTCAGGTATTTTGTGAGCACTTTGAGGAGACATTGGCCTGTCAAAGAGATTTTTCAGCAGTGATTTTTATTACATGCAGGCTTCATTTTAAATGCTGATCTAAGAACCAAACTGCCAGTGTGTCTTATGAGTGGTTGTTTCTAGTCTACACAGAAGCTATTGACCAGTGTTTCTGGAGAAACTGACTGGCTTCAGGGCTGGGCAGGGTAGTAACAAAACAAAGGGAACAGGGAAGATGAGATACTTGTTTTGCAGCTATTGCCAAAGATTACACCAGGATAAAAGGAAACGTCGGTGGATGCTAAGTCCAGGTCAGTGCTTTGCTGGAGAGAGGAGTGTTTGCAGGGTCTCTGTGCCTGACTGTGGGCAGTAGTCACACAACGGGGAAGTCATTAAACATCTTCATGCAGGGACTGACGTTAATATCACAAGGAGGGATAGCTGTGCTTGTGCACTGCCAGAGACAAGCGCTGGTGAAGGCTTCCATGCCACTGTGCAGGGCTCTGGTGGAGGGTGCCCACCCTGAAGCTGCTCAGAAAACATCACACCAACTCAAGGGAGGCTCTGTAAAAAGAAAAGCGATAGGATTGCATTCTATATAGATGGGACATTTAAAGTAAGCTAAAGAGATGTGACAGCTAAATGTTAACACATGGACATGGGCCAAATTGTACACTGAAAAACAGGAGGAATACTATCAAGGACATGATTAGGTAAGGTGACAATTAGAGGGATACAAATAGTAGCTCAGATAAACGTGTCTCATCGATATTAGTTTTACTCAAGTTGATAGCTGTACTGCAGTTATAGAAAAGATTCCCCCTCTTGGGAAACACAAGCTAAACTATTTAAGGTTGAAGGCCCATACTGAATAATTCTTAAATGACTCAGAAAAATGAATTATCCACAAGATAGGTAGGTAAATATAGATGAATTTAGAAAACAAATGACAAAGAAAATGGTGTAAAATATTAGCATCATGTAAATCTGAGGTAGTGTATACTATTTTCATTTTTGCAATTTTTCTGTAAGTTAGAAAGTATTCCAAATAAAAGTTTTAAATAATAAGAAACAAATGTAAAATAATATAACTGGGAAAATAAAGTATTTTAAAATCTAGATCATTCTATCAAAGTAAATATCCCAGCATTGTCAGTGACTTCGCCTTTGGTAGTGAAGGGGTTGGTGGCTGTGAATCTATTCTTGATTTGCTGATTGCCCCACTAGGAGACAACCCCTGAGCACAAGAATAACAGTACTATGCTCACCAGGGTCCCTGCATGTGACATAGTGCAGGCACTGGGGAAAGATCTCAGCTCAGAGGAGAAAAGGCATGAGTTTTTATACATTTATCTTATTATTGACACACTTTCAACTATATCTTTATTTCCAGTTTTTCATGAGGGGACAAATGGCAACTTCTATTGAGGCAAAGCACATATACTTAACTTACTATTATACTGTGCAGGTACTACTAGAGAACTATTATTAAAAGAATGTGATATCCACATTCAAAGGGCTTAGAATTTAGTCAAGAGTAAAGCAGGTCATTTTATTTATTATTATCTTTAGGATTAAAAACTTTGGCTTAAAAATTATACAATATTTTTAAAATCAATGAACAGAAATGAAGAAAGTCAAGTAAAATAGGACTTTTATAAATAATTCTGGCTTAGCATCTGTACCCATGTGTGTAGATTTTGGAGGATAGTCATGTAATGAATCAATTATACTGTTAAGAATCTGGAAATCTTCATTTTCAGAATAAATATTGAAATAATGACAGCTTTTTAAAACATTTAATAATACCAAATCTGAAACTTTAGAAAGAGAAATAAACCATTTAAAAATGCCAGCATTACCCAAACTATATTAATAATGACCTCACCTAATTTAACAGTGAATGACTTTGACATGTGGTTATTCTTGATTAGTCATCACTTTTGTCCTTCAAATATTACAAATATATCCATGAAACAAAATATGTTTCTGCAGCGATTTTATTAAAAAATAGAATATATAACTACCTAATAATTCAAATGAAGTTTCCAACAAACAAAGAGTCTAAGAAAAAGTTGTTAAGTATAAAATATCCAAGCTTTCTTTTTTCTTTTTTGGTATAGGGGATCCAACTCAGGCCTTTGTGCTTGTGAGGCAGGTGCAGAACCATTGATCTAAGCTTTTAAATATAGAGAAAAATACTATTAAAATGAACTAAAAATAAATATTTGACCATCACTCCTGTTGTGTCATCTTCATTAGATTAAAAAACACTTCACATATTAGTAAAACATGTTCCAGGGTGTGTCTGTGTGGGTCATGGAGGTGACCTTGGGGTCTATATCTGGTCCCTTGCCCATTACTCTGTAATACTGGTCCCTTATTCTTCTTCCCACCGTGGGTTAAGGCATCATGCATTAAACATCTCTGTCATGCCGTGATATTTCTGACTTGGAGCCCATTGACCATGGACTAAATACTCCAAAGACATGAACTAACTTAAACCACTCTTTCTTTAAGTTGCAAGGATTGTGTATTGTGTCCAGTGATAAGAAAACTAATACAGAAAAATTGAAGTGGGGTCACTGCTATGACTATACCTGACTAAGTGATTTAGAAGCCTTAAGAACTGACTTGTAGAAAGAGTCTTGAAAGGTTTGGAGCTTTTTTTAAAAGAAGACATAGAGTACAGTAAACAGAGCTTGATGGGTGATTCTGGTTGGAGCTCAGAAGACCAGAGTGCTGATAGGAATGTGGACAGTAAAGGCCAGGCTCAGGAGGTTTCAGTTAGGAACAAGGACTCCACTGGCCTAAAAGCCATGTGTGTTATACTCAGATAGAAAATTTCCTATATTTTGGGGCTGGCTCAGTGGTATGGTACCTGCACACTATACATGAGGCCTTAGCTTCCATCCCTAGCATGTTGGAGTGGGAGTGGAGGTGTTGAAATAAGAGTGAAGTGCAATGTTTATGGATTGAAAGACTCAACAGACTCAATGTCTTAGTTACTTTCCCATTATTGGACAGAATACCCACAACTTAAAGGAGGAGAGATCTATTTTGGCTTATGGTTTCAGTCCATGATTGGCTGGTTCTGAGGTATAATTGGACTTAACTCAAATTATTCTCCTAAAAACCCTAAGAAGTTGGAAAGATAAGCCACAGACTGGCAGAAAGTATTTGAAAACCATGTATCTGATAAGATCTGTACCCAAATGTATAAAGAAACCATATAAATCAATAACTAAAAGACAAAAAAATAAAAAATGAGCCAAAATGAAGTAGGTATTTCACCAAGGAGGATTAAATTTCCAACATAGATATGAAGACTGCTTAACATCAGTTACCAGGAAGTTGCGAATGGAAACCACAATGGCATGTGACAATCTGGACAGTACAGTGACCAATTAAAGGTCATAATGATATCCACTGCTGACAAGGATGTCAGGAAATAGAGCACTCCATGCATGCTGGTGGGAATGTAAAATAGCATATAGCTTCTTTAGCTTCCCTGCAAAATAATTTGTCAGGTTCTTAGAATGTTAATAATTGATATACAGTATGAACCACCAAATCCCTTCCTAGGAATCTACCCAAAAAAGGGAAAACATACATCTACAAAAGACTTGTATATGAATTCTTCATAGGAGCTTATTCATCATAGCCCCAAAATGGAAATAGCTGAAATATATATCTACTGGTCAGTGGATAAACAACATTGATGTACTCATAAAAAGAAGTACTATTCAGCAATAAAATGGAATAAAGTACTAACCTATATGACACCATAGGGAAACCTCACAACATTAGCCTAAGTAAAAGCAACTAGGTTCAAAAGCCTCTGTGTGCTCTAATTTCACTCAGATGAAGTATTTGGAAAAGACAAGTTTCTAGAGACAGAAAGCAGATCAGTTGTTGCCCTGGGTTAGGGTGGGAGCCAAAATTGACAATAAACAGGCTTTTGAGAATTTTTAGAGAGTGATGGAAATGTTCTAAAATTGGGTTGTAGCTATGATTGCACAACTCTATAATTCTGCTAAAAGTTATTTAACAGTACACTTACAATGGGTGATGTTTACACACAGGTAAATTATATATAAAAGGTATTATTAATAAGAAGGAAACAGCTGTTATATGATGAGTTAGCACAGTGAGAAAAGGTCCTGAAATGATTTTTTAATGAAATCAGTGTGTCTGGCTGCATGGGCCCATCACCCACAGATCCACCCACAATCATCACGTGCTGTAGCATCGGCCTGGTTCTGTGTATCAGGGCATTTCCTGGGGCAAGACTTTCCCAGCCAAACGCTAAAACAAGAAATACAGTCCTGTCCTCAGCTTCAAAACAGGCTTCTAGAAGCCCAGAAAGGATGATGGCTTTGACAGTGTTCTCCCCAAAGGACTCTACTCTGCACAGCCCCCTCCCTGGGCCCGGCTGAGCTGTGAGGGCCACATAAGGAACCCAGTGACAGTTCCTGCAAAGGTACAGGTGCTGGCACACTGGGCTCTGGAAGCCTCTGGAGGGAGGATCCAGGCTGAGGGCCCAGGAAGTGCCACCAAGAGCTCTGTGGCTCTGAGGAGTGGGGACTGGAACAGTTCTTACTCTGTGCACTAGTAGGGAGGGAGGAAGCAGCTGGAAACAAGACCACTGCCTTCCCAGACCCCTTCCCATTAGGGTAATGTTGGGAACAGGCAGGCGGAGGGTGACTCAATGTTGGTTCTGATCCCTGTGGCGTTGGTGGCTCTATCACTTTGGGCTAGCAGTGAGGCAGACCTCATGGTGGCAGTTCCCCATGACACCCCTGTGGGGTGGCCAGGAGGGTGGGGGCGTGGAGGAGAGAAGCTGCGTCCCACTGCCCCTCCATGGCTCACCAGTGACCTGTTTCCCAGGGCGGTCCCAGGCTCTTGAAGTTTCCACGTCAGCAGCTGGAGTGGGACCAAGTCTCTAACAAGCCTTCAAGAATACAGGAGGCCCACACTACCGCAGTTGTAGTTCTCAACCCAGTTTAAGTTTTTTGCACTATTCTCACCCAGTAGATTCCTTAGACGTTTCCTTAATTACCGCCCCCATAAACTCTTCACATCAAGGATGTGCTATATATTTCTTGAAGTGCTGCATTTACGTCTGTGGTTTTCTTTGTTGGGGGTACAAGGAATTGCACCCAGGGGAGCTCCACTACTGAGCTACATCCCCAGTACCCCCATTTAGTCTTTATTTTGAGACAGTATCTCATTAAGTTGTCCCAGATGGCCTTGAATTTACAATCTTCCTTCCCCAAGCTCCTGCGTAGTGGGTATTAAGGAACTGCTCTGTGGTTCGCAACCAAGTCTGAACTGGGATCACTCATCCCAGCTCAAATTGTTTGTGCCTTCTACTCAACACATAGCATCAGAAAATATCCTCTTTTGGGAATGGTACCAACTCTCACCTTGAAATCACGCAACTGTGGTAAGATAAAGCAACAGAAAATTACTATAACTTCCTACGTGATAGGAAACTATCAAAGGAATATTGATATTTTTCATCTGTTTACCAGCATTTTTTGAAACAGCTGAAGAGAGAT